GGCTTGTCGACGACGTGCTCATGCTGAAGGCAGTCATGTGACGCGTAAGCTCCAGGTGTGGCCGTGGCGCATGGCCTCTCTCATTGCTGACGGGATTGCCGAGATCCTTCGAGAGCGATGGAAGTCAAAGCCGCCCCGAGTACACTGGAGGAAGTTCTCTGTTGATAAACGTGACGCCGATCACATCGGTCGATTCATCAAGCAGTTCAGGTTAGATCACGTCAAGTTCACCAAGGGCCAGGACTGCAAACCCACGTTGTGTTCTACTCATGTGTGCCAGCATATCGGCCATGGCCTGGAGGTGGACACGATTGCCAAACATCTGCTGAGTCGGATGGAGAGTTCGATTCGAGGAGGTGAGCGAGCTGGGGATCGGCTGCGACAGGCTCGAGTGCCAAGATATGACATCTCAGCTTTTCCTGCCTTGGCCCCTGCAACCTGTCCAGCGTGTCGAGGCAGGGCATCTGTGCACGACCCTCGGCATGCACGTGGTGCTGGTTGCCGTTATCCTCATATCCAGTCGGTGGGTTCTGAGTGTCCTGGGTGCGAGGCCGGAGTTCTTCGCGCTGACCCGCGGCATCTTGCTGACGCCAGGTGCCGTTGGCAATGGGCGGGGTCTCGAGGTCGGCCCGCAGCTCGTGCAGCAGCCGCAGCTGCTTGTGGTGCTGCAGGGGGCGCCTCCGCCCTTCGTGCCGCTGGTGCGAGAGTGCCGGCGCATCAGGGCCCAACTGCTGATGGCCCAGGAGGTGGGCACCTGGCGCCGTTGGAAGCCGCAGCAGGAGCTGATGCGGCGGCGTCGCCTTCGTCTTCGTCATCCGCTGCTTCCCCGCCAGCACCTCTGGCGCCTGCGGCTGCATCTGCCGCTTTCTCCTTGTCGGCTGCGCCGGCACTGGCGCCGGCGCTGCCGGCGCCAGCGGTCGCGCCAGAGGCTGGAGCGGCGCGGCCGCCGCCTCGCCCGCCAGTCCGACCTCCAGGAGTGGGCGCTGCTGTGGGTGACGATGTGCTTGCTGTCCCTGCGGATGACTCCGCTCGAGTGCAGCAGCCAGTAGCGCAGCGACGAGCTCGGGCAGCCAGATCCGAGAGGCGTGCAGGCAGATGCGGAAGGAGCTGACTGGTCTGATTGGTCCATGGGCCGTGCCATGACGTTGTTGAGAAGTCAGAATCCCATGATTATTAGGAGAACTCCCAGGAAGCTGCATATCAGGATGTGGCATGCTCCGGCGCTGCGGCTCAAGGAGATGCTCATCGCGGCTGGAGCTCCTGAGCAGGCAAACGATCTCATACAGGTTGTCTGTGACACGTGCCCGGCATGTCGAGCTTGGCACCGCCCTGGCAGGATACCTATTGCGACCGGCAGAGTTATTTTGGATTTCAATCAAGACGTTCAAATCGATGTATTGTTCTGGAAGACTAAGATAGTGATGCATATGTTGGACACCCTCGTGCGTTTCTCTGTGGCGGCCATCCTGCCAGATCGTGTCACCAGCACCATCGTCGCGGCCGTCACGCACTATTGGTTCAGGCTGTTCGGCGCGCCAGTCGTACTGACTTCTGACCGTGAAGGCGCGTTAGACAGTGATGAGGCGCGAGCATGGGCTTCTCGTTGGCAGTTCAAGCTCAACCTTCGCCCTCGAGGTGCTCACGCACGAATGGTGGAAAGGCATCACGCATTACTACGGAAGCAGTTAAATCTTGTGGACGAGCAGTGTGCTCGTGATGGTGTTCTTGTGCCCGACGAAGCTTTTCTGGATGAGTGTGTGCTAGCAAAGAATTGTATGATCGCGATCGCTGGCAACATTACCCCGTGCAAGGCCGTGTTTGGTCGCACCATCCCGATGTTGACTGATTTGGAGCCGTTTTCGGCTACGGCACTGGAAGACATGGATGACGGCATCGACGGTGTCTCGCGCCATGTCCATCGGCTTCGTGAGATGGCTATTGGTGCTGTTGTGAGTTCGTCAGCTCATCAGCGCTTGGATCGTGCTTTTCAGTCTCGCACACGCCCGGCAGGTGAATGCCAGAACTTACAGCTCGGAGATTTGGTCGACATCTGGAGGGACCCGCCGAACAAGGACGTCTCGGGTTGGCGGGGCCCTGCAACGGTCGTGAATATCAATCGTATCAGTGAAGGCGTGGTGGACGTGCAGTGGCAGTCCCGCGCCATCAGCTGTCGTCTGGCTGATGTTCGCCATGCGCTCGCCATGTCTGTGATGGTGGCCGCCGAACACTTCCGACAGTATTGGGAGCTTCCCCTGACCCTAGTGCAGGAGTTTGCCGAGAGTATCGAGAAGGGAGCGGTCACCGTGGCGTGTGTGAGCACTTCAACAGGCTGGAAGCTTTCGAGACAATGTGCCAAGTACCCCATCATCTTCCATGCTATGCTGCATGTCGCATCGTGTGACTTGCGACTTCAAGGCTGCGGTGGCGGCCGTCTGGGACCTGGTGCCAAAGATATCGAGTGCATGCCCGGCGTCGACGAGACGCTGCTTATTTTCTGGAAGTCGGGATGTCCACTCGATTGGCACTGGGAGCTAGCTCTTGGCACTGTACGTCTGTCCCGTCCGAAGTTATTCGGTGACGATTGGCAAGATATGGTGTTTCTTCAGTTCTTCCTTGTTTCTCTCGAGGATATCGAGTTGGCTCGACAAGCGGTTCCGGATGTCCCGCACCTCGGGCGTATGTATGGACAGTTCGACCCCGATGAGGGGGCGCTGCGACCTGGTGCGCGCTTACCTGGCGTACGCCGACCCAGGAGCGAACCCTCTGATGAAGGGCAACGGAGTAAGGTTTGTCGCTTTGATCGTCAGGATGTTATCGAGTTACCAGGTGATCGTAAGAGGCAGCTATCGACTGGTTCAGAAGGAAGCGGCAATCCTCGGCTTCATGTTGCTCCTTGTTTGCCGCACGTTTCCGACGAATCATCAGAGGATGCGAGAGGTACGGGGTCAGAGCAGAGTACTGGAGCTGATGATGAGGACGCGGAGGCCGAGCATGAGGATCTATTCTGGACATTCGTTTTTATGGAAAGGGAAGTTTCTTCTGCCGCCCATGTGTATCTTGGTGGACAGGTTCCAGCGGTGGAGCTGACGGACGCGGACCTGGACGAGCCCATCAGAATTGAATTTCCACGCAGACAGGCTTGGCGACTCGGGCTTACTCCGAGCACGATGGCCAAGAATTGCGTGCTGGTAATGAATGAAATCAAGACCCAGACCTCGGCGGTCATCGAGCGTGATCTCAGTATTCTCTCGGCAGCAGGGATGAAGAAGCATCATGAGTTGGTTGTGGCCGCCAAACTGAAGGAACTCAAGCGTTGGGTGTCTGGTGTTATTGAGCGGATGAACAAGAAGGACGCCGACAATCGCATAGACTCGCGCTGGGTTATCAAGTGGCAGATCATCGGAGGACAGCGAGATGTCAAGGGCCGTCTCGCCGTGAGAGGTTTCAAGGATCGTCAGAAGCATGAGAAGTATCGACTGAGGATGACTGCTGGAACTGCTTCTCGCTGGTGTCAAAGAGCGATTTGTTCTATCGCAGCTCAGCATGGTTGGACACTGTGGTAAATTGGTGTTTCGATGGCGTTTCTTCGTGGCAAGACGTTTCAGGAACTTGCCGAACGGTTTGGGTTCAAGATGCGATGTCTTCAGTTTGACCTACCTCCTGATGGCGCGGCATTGTTAAAACACATAGAAGGATTCGAGATCTTCAACGAGGTCATGGAGGCGCTGAACATGAAAAAGCTTGGTTTTGGTACGAATGACGCCCCATGGGCGTAGCAGGTCGATTTGTCAGATACTTTGAAGGAGCTGGGTTTCTTTCCTACCGAGGCGGATCGGCAGTTGTGGCTGCTGTTCGACAGTGCAGTGTTGTTGGCTGTTCTCGGCACTCATGTGGATGATCTGAAGGGCGCCTGCAGTGATGATGCACGGGAGTGGATATTTGACAAGTTCCGCGAGAAGTATGAGGGCGTGACGGTGAACATCGCACTGTTTGAATGTGTTGGCATACAGCGCTCACAAGACGAAGTGAGCAAGGCTATCACGATATAGCAGAATCATTCTGCGCCCGAGCCCAGGCCGCTCAACGCAGCGTCGTTCACAGGGAAGCTTGATGTTGAGCTGGTGGACAGTGCGTTACAAGGTATGTATTGGAGTCTCCTTGGTGGCGTGGCCTGGCTGACGCTTACGAGAGCTGATATTGCTGTGTTTGTTGGTCGATTCCAAAGGCATAGTCAGAAGGTCACGGTCGGAGACATAAAAGGACCCAATACGTTGTTGAAGTTGATCAAGAGAGCCGTTCTGTATCAAATATGTCTCTCTCGAACCACCAGTATGCTTGTGTGTGTTATCGCTGATTCAGCCTATCGTGCTGACGATGATAATTGCTAGGCGATTCGAGCTGCCATTCTTGTGATGATTGAGATAAGAAGTGGTATTCCAGGCGGATCGATGCGTGTGCTTGATTATGATAGTCGTAAACAGCCCAGAGTGACGCGCAGTACGTTTGGAGCAGAACTCATCAGTCAGTTGGAAGCTTGTGAGTTGGGTATGCTGCATCGCGGGTTCTGGCATCAAGTTCTTACGGGTTCCCGTGGTGTGAAAGAACTACATGAGGCAGTTAATGCCAACGTGATTGAGATTGGTTTGTATCTCGTGGGTGACGCTCACGCTGTATTTACAGCCATCACTGGAGAAGAGATTGCAATGCCAAATGATCGGGGTCAACTGTATGCTGTGCGTGCTATGCGAGACCGATTAGAATGTGGATCGTTGACCGGACTACTCAGATGCGATACCAGAGATATGCTTTGCGATGCACTCACGAAAGGTGGAGTGGCACGAAATGCAGTTGTGGAAGCGTTCGGCACCGGACAATGGCGCATGACTATCAAAGATCAGATGCACTTGTGGCCGGATCCTAGTGTTTCTTGTTAAAGTGTTGCGCGCGAGTGCTGTCCAATACCTGATCTTGATCTGTTCGGGTTGTGCGAATGCTGTCAGGATACCTGATCTTGATCATGTGACGTGTGAGACGATCGTGGACGACCTGGTCTTGACCGACCTCTTCCATGTGAATTACGTCGAGATGTTGTTGATGGGGTGAGGCGTCCGCGACATGGAGATGGTGCCAGATTCGAATAACATGTTGCTGGCCCTCTCCTGATGCCCTCCCCGTCGCCCGTGGCTGCCTCGGCTCGAGGCGGCCAGCCAGTTTCACTTACTTTGCTGTGAAGAATGATGTTGTGGCGCGGTCTCGCGGTGCGTGCTTGAATAAGATCATCCTGATCTACTGCGAGACTACCGCCACACCGCTGATTCGATCGAGGGGGGGGGGGGGGGCGTTGCTCATGTCGGGTTTGGTAGGGCCAGCCGCCGCAGCCTGTCCCTTACCGTTGCCCTTCCCCTTGCCGCGGTGGAACTAATCTGCACATTTCCTACCAGTCTCCGCTTTCGTAGGATCGCGCGCTCCGCGCGTGGCCCTCTCCAGGAAGTTGTCTGTAAAACGGGGCGCGCAAAGCCAGCGTTGAAACATGCTGGAACTTGAGCCTGCCATGCATGCAAAGTGATGAAAGGAACGTCGCCGTCTTGCTAGCTTTGTCCCAATCGTTGACAAACTTGCAGCTGTGCGGGCTGTAGCTCTTGTAGCACGCTGACGGGAGATGCAAGACGTCGGCGCTCCTGGTCTGAGACTTGAGCCAACGTGGCCACGGAGAGAATCGAGGAGGATCACGGAGGAACGTGGAACATCAGGGACGAAAAGGGTTTTTTCAGAGCCTTAGATATCCCCGGGGGTCGGGGACGCTGGCCTACTGTGCCTTGGGGACGCCGACGCCAGACGCCGCCACCGACTCAGATCCGTGCGCCCTGAAAATGTACGGCCGGCGTTTTTGTCTCCTTCCATATGTCGGGGAAGGAGACACATTTGGTGTCAGCGGCGACTGAGTCCTCCTCTTCCCCTCCTCGCCCTCCGGTCTTTTGGCCTTCGGGGGTCCGCTCGTCGGTCGCCAGGAGCGGCTCGAACAGCGGGACAGAAACGGTGCTCGGCCGGACGCCGAGGTTCACGTCCCTGACGTCCGCTCGCTTTGTGCCTAGCTATGCTTCGTCGCGCCCCGCCGCTGCTCGACCGTCGTCTGATCCTCTTGCGGCAGGCAACTGGCTACAGCGTTTGCTCTGCGTCGGGCTCCCCGAGCCTCCCAAATCAACTTCGCTCGGGAAATGTGGCCGACTGATGGGGGCTGGGAGTTCCCGTTGTGCTGTCTCGCAGTTGTTGCGATTCGTTCCCGATGTTTTGTCTTTGGGCGGTCCGCCTCTGGTCTCGTATTTGGTGAACGCTGGAGTCTTTGCAAGACTTACGTGCGCTAGTTTCCGTCGCCGCTCAGAGAAAACAGATTTTGATGCGTAACCGAGTCCTTGATCGTAGCAATCAACAGCAGCGATATGCTGACGACTCGTATGCCAGGGCCTGCTTGGAGGGGCGCTCGGGAACAATCGCGGCGTCCGATACGTCTTTCGGACAGACCAGCATTCACAAATTTATTGGCTTTCCTTGCCGCGCACTTTCGTATTTTCTGGATCAGGCACCCAGGGGCGCAAAGGTAACCGCGGTTCGTGCGTCGCGGTCTGGGCCAGAGTAGTTGCTATTCTCCAAGGGGGCGGCGCGGGGGCGTGAGTGCGGTTTTGAGACGGAGATCTGCGATTCTGTGCTGACACAAACTTAGTCCGGCCCAAGAACGTTGTTTGTACGCCCTGGTAGACTGAGTTGCTCACTTTCTCATTGAACTGGCTATACGCCCGAGACCCTGTGGTGTTATCGTCAAGCTAGGCTGTAAGCTAGCTGAAGTTTTGTCCGCTCCGCAGACGCTACGTCTCGCCCAGTGACAGCCGCTGGGGTCGTTTGCTGGTCGCTCCTGCTCCCCTCCTGTATTCCCCTGTCGCTGCCATCTCCTTTCCGCTGAGCTACTCCCTCATAGCCCGTCCAATGACAATTTGTGCCCGTTTTTCAGGTTTCCGTCCCGAATTGCTGTCAGATGGGGTCATGGCCCAGAACGGCCCCCAGCCGCCAAAGGTGGAGCGAAAACCTCGTGGTCCGATTTTGCCTTTAACCGGCTGGCGCAAGGCTAAATCGGCCAGCTGTTCAGGGCTTGGCCCGGCCAGGGCACCGGTGCCGATGTCCAGGGCGGCGCCCTCCCACAGGCAAGCTCCTGTTCGAGCTGATCGACTCGGAGAACCAGGACGCCCAGAGGGGGGGACGGTGGCGGCCTTCGGATGCTTTTGAACCTGTGTCGGTTTTCTCTGGGCCTCTGTGGGGATTCTCGTTGCCGGGGCTGGATCTGCCACCGGCCAGAATGCACCCCAGACCATGTCCTGGGGGCGACTTCCGACCCACGGTTTCTGACATCCCCGCACCGCGACGAAATCATTGCGGGAGGTTTTCGGCAGTCTTCGGCCTTCGGACGGCCCTTGCGGGGCTGCATAGCCGTCAAGAAACGGCTCGAGATGAAGAGCCAGTCCACCGGGAAGAGGTCCAGACCTCTGGTGAACCACGTGGTGAAGGAATCACGGCGTCGGACTTCTGGCAAACCCGGGCACTGCGAGATCCACCAGGGCAAGATTTCGGCCCGCGGCCGCAGCTTTTTTTGTTCGGTGTGCCGGTGTCTTCATCTGGTCGAAGTCCCCGTAGGTACGGGGCCCTGACCCCGCCGGGCTTCCTCGGGCGTCTGGGGCCAGGGGGCAGCACGATCGAGGAGGGGGCAGCATGAGGAGCTGGAAGGTTCCAAGAGGGGGGGCCTGCAGGAGGAGGAGGAGGGGGAAGGATCCTCATGCTCCTCCTTCTCCCTCTTAATCTTCTTATCATTATCATCAATAATATTATTATCCTTCTTCTCCTTCTCCTTCTCCTTTTTCGCTCTCCCCTTCGCTGGAGGGGGACCCGATTACCTCCGCACGAACCTCCGAAGGCCCTTCCAGATTCGCCGAAAACCTCCGGGAACATCGAGAATCCCCGTAGGACGGCAAGATCACCGTGGACGAGCTCATTCTGGAGGGCTCCAGAGGGGGGGCAAGGCAGGGCCAGGCAGGGGGGGCTGAGCTGCCTAGTTCCCTCGCTTCAACCCCTCCTCCAGACTCCAGCTGGCCTTCGGCGGGGCGCCCGAGGGGAAGTGAGAGGGATCAGGCCTTCTCAGAAGGCGGCTGGGCTTCTCAGGCGCCCCCCGGCCTTCTGAGAAGTTTCCTGAGGCTTCTCCGAAGGCGGAGACGGCCTCTCAGAAGATCGGAGGGGGTCCTCGAGAAGCCTGGCTGCCTGCGAGAATGCCTGCCCCCTCTCGCTTCCCCCCCCCGGGCGCGCCGCCGATCACTCCACGCCCAACTGGGACCAGCTGGGTCTGCTCGACTGGTAACCATACGACGCCACCGTGCAGGGAGGTGCCGAGGCGTCCCCGCCGCACTCCTCATGGGCCCGTCCCTGGTGGGACGGGCGACCGTCGACGTTCGCTGGCTTCAGCCTCAGGAAAGGGGGCTGTGGATCAGAGGACGACAAGGTACCGATACCACTACCCTTGGCCCGCTTTGGTCTTTCGGGGTCTCCTGGAAGGCCATCGTCACCACCTTCTGGGTTCGCCTCGAAATTCGGGTCAGACTGCACCCGGGGAGAGGTCCAGGGAGTAGCGGTGTTGGTACCCTTCGGTTTCTCCAGCTATGGAGGCAGGGTCGGCTGTTGACAGAGGGGGTCCTGGCCCAAGCGCTCCCCAGGGCTGCCAGGGCAGGCCCCAGCGGCTCCTTCCATCCCGAGTGGCCCAGAAGGTGGATGACACCTCTGGCCAGGGACACTCCCCCAGACCTCCGATATCGCATCAGGAACAAACTCTGCATAAGAAAACAGTTTCGGAGATCCGCTTGGAGCTCCGCAAGTTTATGGGAATGCGGTCTTCTGTTCTTCTAGTCGTGATGGCCCCTTCCCCGGGGCCACTTCTTCGCCCTGGGTTGCTCTTCGGTGGCCCCCCGGGCTCGGTACGGGGTCTCCCCAGGGCCGGTGTCGCTGGGAAACAGCTTTTCGCGACGTGTCCGTGGCGAGTGACGTCTGGGCCCAGCCAGGGGCCAGGGGCGGTTCTGTGAGTCGGCGGCGAAGTCCGAACCCTTTTCCTCGCCGATCAACGATGCAGGCACCTCGACGGGCGGCGGGGGTAGGGTTCGGAATTCGTCGAGCACGTGGCGAAACCCGAGCCCTACCCCCGCCTCCCATCGATTCAGGAGAATCGATAGTTGGCGTGGTTCGGATGTCACAATGTCACAACGAAGCCCCCCTCCTCTCAAGACGGAGCCGAAGGCCCTGGTCGCCTCGTCAGTGCGATGGCCCGATTCGTGTGAGGGGGCAGGACCCGCTAGAACGCTCAAGCAGGCCCTTCAGAGGCCAGACAACGATCATAGCCTTTAGCTCTCCCACCAGAAGGGGAGAAAGAGACACACACACAAAAACAAACGTCGATTCTCAGGAAAATATTGGAAAGTATTGGAAGCGGAGGGGAAGACGGAAATCCAGAAAACATGGAAAACATTGGGAATCCCCGGATTTGTATTTTTTTTCTCGTACCTCCCAGGGCCCCTTTATGGAGGGCATGCTCTTGACTGTTTGCTTGCCCCCCCGGCCCCCTGGAGAGGCAGGGGCAGTCCGGGGCGTAGCCCCCCCTCGGCGGACGTCAGCTATACACCGGTGCTGATCCTGGCCAGGCCGCAGACCTGCCGACCCCATTCCGGGGTGCTCTCCCGATGGCCCCAGGGCGCCGAAATTTGGGCGCACGTGGAGCCGCCACGACCTCTCCGTGACGAGGGGTGCCCGGGCCTTGGAGCCCCTGCCTCCCCTACCCACCGTGCTCCTGCCTTCCTGTGCGAGCCTCGGCTCGCACTGCCGCGCCTGGGGTCGTGGTCGCTGGCTCGGAGTCCTGTCCGTGCCCGCTGGCCAGAGATCTCGAAGAGCCACTTACATGAGCTTACGCCCTCTTTTGTGTGATCCTTGATGGGAGCCTCAAAGGTCCCAAAACATTTTGCGGTTTTTAGGATTTCGTGCAGATGTTGTACGATTTGGTCGACATTTGGAACAAACATTGAGCGACATCTGGACGAACGGGTGGGGTGGTCGAAATCTGGACAAAAGCCAGTCGAATTCATGTTTATCATAGGGCCGCGGAGGTCCACGAGGCTCGCATGAAGGCTCACCCCTCGGAGGTCCGCTCAAATTTCTTGGATCGGCGCTGGACCGCCCGGCGGCGCCTCTGGCGCCGCCCCTGGCGCCGCCCCTGGCGCGCTCCGCGCACCAGGGT